TCCCCCAGCGCGCCGGGGCGAAGTGGGCAGCCGGCGGTGCCAGGCCAGCCTGCGTCAGCGCGGGCCTGGCCGCCGAGTCCCGCCGGAGCTGCGCGCTGACAGCACCGGCTTTCTTCCTTCGCCGGCCGCTACATCTTCTTTGGAATCTGAGAAGGAAGCAGTGGGGGGCGCGGTGCCCGCGAGCTGGGGCGCACGCCCAGGCGTCATCCATCCCCATCCCTCCCTAGCGCGGAGTCCGGGCGGAGATGAGAGATTAGAGGAGAAAGGACAGGCGCCCTGGGGCTGATGCCCACGTCGGGGAAGCTCTGGCTGACTTCTCGGCGCCGGCATCTTGGTCCGCGCCTTTTACAGGTGAGGAGACTGGGAGACCTGGCAAGGTCGCAGGAAAGGAAGGGTGGATTAGAGCCCAAGTGCCGGCCGGCTCTAGCTGGCTCCTGAATCCGCCTCTCCGACCCCCCACTGCCTGGTGGCGGGAGAGGAACCAGGGCACCGTCACGGCTAAGCCGGCCCTGTGCCCTCCGACTGCTCCGGGACAGCGTGCCCCTACCGCCACGCCCGCCCCGCACGTGCTCGCCCCTCCCTTGGGAATGTCTGCTGTGCGCGCGCCTTTCCGCCCAGCACTCCAGCTCCGCATCCACCAGCCAGAGCCGCAGGTCTCCCTGACCTCTGCGCACAGCCCTGGGCATTTGCCGCTGTGCTTCCCCCTCACCTGCTGCCCTTTCTCTAACCTTTCCCCACCTCCTTCAAGGAGGCTGCTGCGAGGTTGACAGTTAACAGTTCGGAAAGCACCGTTCATAATAATAAGAACCTGCCCGGCTGGCTAGCTCAGTGGTTGAGCATCGACCCATGAACCAGGAGGTCACGGTTTGTTCACGGTCAGGGCACATCCCTGGATTGTGGCTCAATCCCCAGTAGGGGGCATGCAGGAGGCAGCCCATCAATGATTCATCACTGATGTTTCTATTTCCCTTTCTCTCTGAAATCAATAAAAATATACTTTAAAAAATAATAAGATCCACGTTGTATTGATGTTTGCTGCATGCTGAGGGCAGTAAGTATATTGTCTCATTGAACTTTTAAAGCAGACCATGATGTAGGTGTTATTATTATCTTTGTTTTACAGGTGAGCAAACCAAAGCTTAGAGGAGCCATTCATTTCAGTTATTTAAGCACCTTCCATGTGCCAGGCCCTGGGCTAGGCTCTGGAGAGACAACCATGAATAAGACACACTCACATAACTCACCTTTGGGTGGGCAGACGCAAACCTACCGTGGCGGCTTTCAGGGGAGGCCTGGCCTGATCTAGTGGCTCAGGGGAGACTTCCCAGAGGAAGTGGTATAAGCACATTCCTGATAGGAGGCCCTGCATTTGTTAGGGGCAGAAATAGAAAACTGGGGACCAGCTACAATGGTAAGGAATAGTGATCATGCTCTGTAACTGTGATTGTTCTTTCCTGATTAGAGAAAGCATATTCTCACCCTGCTGAGAGCTATACACCCCGGGGCATGGGAGCTAACATCGGAATGCAGTCCATCCTCCTGTCCCGAGAACTGCCTATCATTATGGAAAGATTAACAACCTCCTGGCTGCAACAATCTAGTCCCAGAGGCACCCACCCTTTACAACCCCAGTCCCTATTGCCTGTAATCTGGTCCCTAGCGCCCTCCCTCTGCACCCCCGCCCCGCCCCACCCGCCTCCAGCCCACATGCCTTGTAACCTGTAATGATTATCCCGTACCTACGTTCGTTCCCATACCTGTGATTCCTACTTTCCCACGTAATCTTTGTCCTTTTACCCAATATAAGCAGCTGGCTTATGAGGAGAGGCGGAGCAGATGTTTGTGGATGACCTGCTGCTCTCCCATGCTGCCGGCATTATTGGAACAAACGCTCATATATGATTCAACCCTGTCTCTGCTTCATTGGCTCAAGTAGTGACGGCAGCCCAGACCCCTTGGTTGTCCGGTTACACATTGGTGCCCAACTGAACAGCCAGCAGAGGACCCCCCAGGGGGACATGCAGGACTGTAGGCCCAGTGGCCCTGGGCTCCTGGCAGCTCTGCCACACATTTACAGTGTGGCCGATGCCCCTTGCCGGGCCTCTGTTTCTCCATGTGGCAGTGGAGAGCATCTGCCCCTACCTCTGTTTCCCTGACTGTCTGGGAAGGGGGCCAGGGAGGAAGAGCCCTTTCTCCCCCAAGGTCTCGGTTCTTTTGGATAGATCCACTTGCCAGAAGGCTGAGGGGCCTATTTCTGCCAAAGCTGCAGGGACAGGCCTCAGGGCTGGGCATGGAGCCCTGGTGACCTCACTGCTGGAGCAGGTGCCCGGGGAGGAGGGGAGTGGGAGGATTTCTAACTCAAGGTCACAGCCTTTAGACACAGGGCTTCCTCTCTCAAGGACTGAGTGGCCGGAGACTCAGGGACCAGAGCTGTCGCCCTACAAGGCCTTTTTAATGCAGTGCTGGAGATCTGGGGCGGCAGATAGATATGAGTTCCAATTCTGATTGCACTGGGTTCCAGCCATGTGGCTGTTCACTTAAGCCACTCTAAGTCTCCATTGCGTCTTGAAAATGGAGGTAATGACAGTATTTACCCCATAGAGGTGTTTGGGGATCAAATGAGAGAATGCATTTAAAATGCTGAGCCTGGTAGACTTAATAAATTATGTTCACTCCTGCTGCTGCTGCTGCTGCTGCTGCTGCTGCTGCTGCTGCTATTATTATATCCATGGATAGTACAGGAGTCCTAAGACTTGATCACAGCACTGCCCCTCACCTGCTGGGCCATCCAAGGCAGATAGCTTTGCTTCTCTAATCCTCAGTTTTCTTTCTTCTGAGACAGGACTAGAAACTGCTGTGAGGAAGGAGTGATAGAGATATTTAGGACGGGTTGAGGGGGATACTGCCAGAAAGTCCTTTTGGACCCTGCCTGTGTTGAATAGCATGGTGCTACGACACACACCTGAGACCCACTAGTCTTGCTGCCCTGCCCCCAACTCCCATCAGGCTCAGACCTGAGTCACCAAAGTTGACTCCTACTCCGCACCCTATCTCCTGTCTGCCTGGTTCTCATATTTCTTTCTAAGTATGTACAGTTTTCCCCTCATCCCTCCGCTTACCTGCATCCCCCTTGCCCTGCTAAGCTCACTACAATTTTGGAGAGAGGGGCAAGGGGAGGAAATAGGAGCCCTGTCCCTTTCCTGCCCCTCTTTCTCGCCCTCGGGAGGTCCAATGTGGATATAACATCTGGCAAGCGGCAGGACCAATCCCTGCCAAGCGCACCATCTCCCCAGCCCTTGCCCTATAGTGATATCACTGTTCTCTGTTTCCATGGCAACCACAGGCTGGGAAGATAGAGAAGGAGATGAGTAACCAGGAGAGAGCCAATGAGATGGGCCGGCTGCACCGGGTGATCCATGGGGCCACAGGGAGGAGGGAGAGGGAGGCCTACTCAGCATCTTCAGCTGTTCCCTCCACTGGGGGATTTACTGCTGGCACAGGGAGAGATGCCAGAAGTAGATGCCAAAGAAGCTGAGCTGGAGGCTCCACTGACCCAGGGACACGGAGACTCCCTGTGCCCCTTTAGGGCCTAAGTCTGTGAATGCTGACCGCCCCCACCTCACCCACCCCACGTACCTAAAACTGGGAATTTTTCTTTTTTGACTGCTAGGGGTGGCGGGCTCTGTGTCTGCCTGCCACGGATTCTCAGGTTTCTCCACACCCTCCAAATCCCCCCTTGGTGCGGGGTGTCGTCAGAAGCACTATAGCTGGAAACCCAAGCAAGTCCCTCCCCCCTTCTCTTTCTAAACATCCAAACCTGTAGAGAATTTGTCTAAAATTTATTTGAGCTAAATAGAAGGTATGTCTGGAAGCAAGATTTCAACAGACTGGGATAAACGCTTCCAAGACCAAGTTTGCAGTTTCTTTTGTGCCTTTGAAAATTAAGGAGGGGGCATAAGGAAGATTACATGAAGGTAGGAGAAAGCCAGGTGGGGCTGGGATTACAAAATGGTTAAGATTATGTGCTTTCTTGAGAGTTGTCATGCTCCCCCAGCCGTGGGCAAACTACGGCCCGTTCGGCTGTTCTATCCGGCCCGCGGAGCCGAAAGAGCGGAGGGTTCTCTTGCTCTCCCCGCTGCTCCTTCACCAGCAGCAGTGTTAACATGTATTAGTTCACACAAACACTCCATCCATGCTTTTGTTCCGGCCCTCCGGTCCAGTTTAAGAACCCATTGTGGCCCTCAAGTCAAAATGTTTGCCCACCCCTGCGCCTAGATTCTAGAAGCAGGGGCCTGAAAGCGTGGTCATGCGTTAGAACAGCGGTCCCCAACCTTTCGGACCTCACGGGCCACCAGTGGTCCACGGACCACCGGTTGGCGACCGCTACATTAGAATGAGGGCCCCAAAGGGGGCATTTCCAAGAGGCATTACCCTAGATGCATGGCAGCAATGTGCAGGGCCCGCTTAAGGTAAAGATAAGCCTGTTACTAAAGATATAGGCTTGGGACGTGATTACCCACATGACCTGCCCAGCTTGGAATTTATGATCAGACCGCCTGTGAGGTTCCTTTTCAGAGAACTGCTTTTCTGTCCACTCCTCCCTGAGCTCACAATGCAAAGGGACTGCAGTCACCGTGGGTGGAATGGAGTGTTCCTTCTGCCACTAGGAACCCACTTCCTTGTTCCTCAGGCGTTCTGGATACTGTGGGTCTGAGAGAACAAAAGATGGCAAAGGTAGAGGTGTACTCAACACCAGTTTGCTTCCCAGAAGCTGTTGCCTGAGGCAGAACGCTCCCTGAAAGAAAAACAATGGCTTTCACCGCCCCCTGGCCCGAAGAGGTGGTGCAGCTCAGCGTGGAGGGGCTGTCACCTCTGCCTTTGGAAACCAGCTGTCCTACCTGCTGCTTACAGAATAAAGCCCATATTCTTTGTCCTTGCCTGATCTATTTCATTGGCCTAGTTCAGTGGTCGGCAAACCACGTGCGGCTCTTTGGCCCTTGCGTGTGGCTCTTCCACAAAACACCACGTGCGGGCGCAGGTACAGTGCGATTGAAACTTCGTGGCCCATGCGCAGAAGCCGGTTTTCGGAAAGGAGATGGATGAAACAAGTATACAAGACGAGTGTGGATGGGAGAGTTGGAAGGGGTCGACCTCAGCGAACGTACCTCAATGAGACTGAGGACATTTTTAGCAAAGGCCAGCTTAGGAGTACCCTAATTAAGTTAATAACACTGTACCTGCCTATATAGTTTAAGTTTAAAAAATTTGGCTCTCAAAAGAAATTTCAATTGTCGTACTGTTGATATTTGGCTCTGTTGACTCATGAGTTTGCCGACCACTGGTCTAGTTTATTACTGAAGTCCTGCTCCAAGAAGAGTACCAGGCATGAATGAATGAATGAATGAATGAGGGAATCCAGCCACCTCCCTAGCGCAGGGCCTCTGGAGTGAGGCTCACTTGGGTTCCAATCCTGCCTCTGTTACTTACACACCAACTGTGTCTTTGGGCAAGGCACCATCTCTCTGGGTCTCCACTTCTTTATCTGCAAAAAACCCAGCCGGCCTCCCAAGGACTCTGGGAAGATAAGGTAGCATAAGCCGGGGACTGATGTACAAAGATTAATTGTTTCTCTCCTCAGCCTCCCTCTCTGGCTGCTCATGGCCCTCAGCACAACCTCGCCATCCCTGGCCCCATGGCCCTCTGGCTCCGACCCCTGCCCACCTCT